CTTAGGTTTGTGTACCATGTACATCAAAATATTTAATGTGTGTTAAAATCGCAGGTTTCCAAGTCCAACTCCAGACCCAAACTGAAGCAGCATTTGGAACAGGGGATGAAAGGGCAATCTGCCTTGCTTACAGTTGCCCCAGGGGAAACTTATGACAAGCAGAGAGTGCGGCTCATTGTTAGAGTCACTGTGCATGTAGATCTATAGCTTGGCTTCATCTTTCCAACAGGTGGTAAGCCACGTCCCTTTTTATCACAGCAGCTCTCTGAGCATCAGAATGCCTTTCTCTACCTTTCTTCCTTAATACTCAGTTGTAACCCATGCTATTAAAATTTTCTTTACAACAAGGTTCTACACCCTAAATCAACTTGGCACTCTTCTCTGGCTCTTTCATTGCTTTCCAATGTCTCTCCCAAAACATGGTGCTCAAACATAGTATATATATCACAGTAGGAGGTGGGGAGAGAGCTGGAAGGATTGAATGCCAATTATGTGAAGCATATCCATTTACACTCCTGCCAACTGATCATGAGACAATCTATATCAGCCTAAACCAGCCAGCAGGAAGCCTCATCATTTCAGAAATCTTTGCTATTGAGGAGACACACGAGGATAACTCTATCTACAGTTTTCTTTTTTTTTTTTTCATTTGGGTGGCTCTGTTTGTATTTCTCATATGTAGACTGGCAATGGGTAATTCTTTTGTGAACTGGCTGTTCCTGGACTGCTTCTGATTTTAATTTGTCATGCCAGTCACTATGCCAAGTTCATCCTGCCCCATGAAACCCTCAACACAGCATTTCTCTATTTCACAGGGTCTGATGGTTTGAATGAGCATCCCCCATAGACTCCAAGAATTTGAATGCTTTGTCCCCAGTTTTTGGCACTGTTTGGGGAGGGTCATGGACCTTTAGGAGGTGTAGCCATGCTGGAGGAAACACAGGTGGGCTTTGAAAGTTCTTAAGCCTTGAGGGATGTCCAGTTGCTCTCTGCTTCCTGTACCTGCTTGAAGATGTGAGTGCTGAGCTTTCTGTTCCTCCCACCTCCTGCCATTTCTCTCTGCCATGATGGACTCTTACGCTCTGGAACCATAAGACAAGCTCTTCTTTCTGTAAGTTCCTTTGGCATAGAAAAGTAACTAATACACAGGGAAAGAGACTCAGCAGTAAGGACCTTGTCATGAGAAAACAGTGAATTTTTCTACTTCCTCGTTTATTTGTTCCTTGGATAATTAGCGTCTTTCAGAAGAAAGTTCTTCATCTTCGAGACACTTGGTAAACTGAGTCACAAGAGTAAAGTGCCTTGGCCAAAATAAGGAGGAAAATAAAAGAACACTGAGAGTACTCACAACTCTTTTCCCTAAGCTCCTGCCTAAAATCTTCTTTGCATTTCTCCTGGTCTAAAGATAACAGTGACCAAACAATAATCAGTTCAGGGATAGAAATGCTATTTATGAATACAAGGCAGGAGGAGGATGTACTATGGAGCTGGATGACTTGGGAGGTTGAGGCAGGAGGATCTCAAGTTCAAGATCAGCCTCAGCTGCATGATAAGATCAAGGTCAGCCTGGGTTCATAGTGAAACCCTGTAGGGAGGGATGCATGCATGTATAAATTCATATAGAGAAATAACATGTAGCTGTCCTCAAAAGAGTATCCAGGGAAGGACCACAGGGAGCAACTTGGAGGGCAAGACCTGTAAGAAACCAGTCTGTTGGCTGACAGAAGCATCCATACACAACACATGCACAAGTAAAACTGGCCTTCGTCTCTTCTATTTCATATTAGCTGATATCCCAAGACCAATGTTTATGCAATTAACTCAGGCCCTAGTGTTAATTCATTATTTATAGCATTTTAGTCCAAACAGCTGAGCTCCTCACAGATTTGGTTAATTTAATCAAATTCCAAGCAATTATACTTTAATTAAAAATACATATGCATAAAATTGAAATGCTGATAGTTAAATCAATTGAATTCACAACAAGATTAGAAGAAATGCAAACGATTAATTACAGATCTGAATTAGAAGCAAAATTAAAAGCAATTTAATCCTACTCCCCTTTTCTGTCTAGAAGGTAGCAGGACTCTAAGGTCATGACTTCTCAGTGTCAAATAGTGAATGGAGCAGAAAGATTCAAATCCACAATTCTGGACTTCAAACCCATAACCTATTCATCTGAACCCTTCTAAGACCTTTCATCTAAACAAACTCTAGTCTTGCCTAAAAAACCCTGAAGTTTTTCCAAACAGAAATCTACAAATGAGGGGGTCAAAATGGTTAAGGTGATATAAATGGTCTTGGTTTTGTGAGCTGGCCATTTTAGCAGGCTGTTAAAAGTCCTTGGGGTGCTTTACTCCTCTGTATGCCCAGACAGAAACTCAGCCGCTCCTTCGCTTGCAGAAATAATATTCACCTACAATTTCAATGCCCTACATTTTGCTCCAACCTTTTCCATGCACAGTAAAACACAGTAAAACTTGTGCAGCACTATGTAAGCTATGATGTCATTTCCTGAAATGAAGAGAAAGCTTCTTTCTCTTTGTTCTTTACTATTCTTTGTTTTCCATTAATATTTTTAATGTGGGCAGAATCTAAGCCTCCTTTCTCAGAATTCACATTTTTGTTACTTGGGGCTGGAAAGATGACTCGGTCGTTAAGAGCACTGACTGTTCTTACAGAGGACCAGGGTTCAGTTCCCAGCACCCACACGGCAGCGAACAGCAGATCAGTTCCAGGGTATCTGATGCCCTTTTAGTGCGTCTACAGGCACTTGCATGACATAGTTGCACTTTACATACATACAGGCAAACATTCATGCACATAAGTTTTTAATTTGCTCTTTCATAACTTACTCTGTGGACACCAGATCTTCCTCACAGTCTCTTTTTTGTCTTTTTTTCTTTTTTCAGCACTGGGAATCAAACCTAGGCCCTTGCACATGGTAGGCAAGGATTTGACTACTGAGCTACATTTAACCCTTGATGTGTGTGTGTCTTTGTGTGTGTGTCTGTGTCTGTGTCTGTGTCTGTCTGTGTCTGTGTCTTTTTTGACCCCAAGTGGCCTGGAACTCACTATGTAGACCAGGCCAACCTTGAACTCACAGAGATCCACCTGCTTCTGCCTCCTGAGTCCTGGGATTAAAGGATTGTGCCACCACGTCCTGGTAACCCTTGATATTTTTTAGATAAGGCTGTACTATGTGCAATGGTTAGTTTTCATTGTCAACTTGACATAATCTAGAATCATCCAGGAAGAAAGTGCATCAATGAGAGATTGTCTAGATCAGGTTGGCCTGTTGGCAAGTCTGTGGAGAATTATCTTAATTACTTCAATTGACCTGGGAAGTCCCAGTCCACAATGGGTGGCACTGCTCGGGAGGCAGGCAATCCTGGACTACCTAAGTATAGAGAGAGCTGAGCAGGCGGAAGCATGCATGCATTCTCTCTCTGCTCTTGTCTATGGATGTGATCAGCATCTTCCTGCCTTGACTTCCCCACATGATGGGCTGCAACCTGGAATTGTGAGTTGAATAAACCCTTCTTCCTTAAACTTGCCTTTGTCAGGGTTGTCATTGCAATAGCAAATGAACCTAGGACATTATACAACTGGCCTCACAACCCCTCAAACTCGCTATCCTCCAGTGCTGAGATTTTGGGCATGTGCTGCCATACACAGCTCCTGAAAAGAATTTTAAACCTTAAACAGATTGTGCTAACCAAGGACACAGAGTGATTTTTTTTTTAAATTAGAAGAAGCATTTCATTACAATAGCATTAACCTATTCAATAACATTTTTCTGAGCTAGGGTACATCTCTTTCAAAATTGGCTGTACATTTTTAGGTTTACAGATGAATTATTACACTTATACAATCTTTTACTCATTATAAACTCTATAAGACATAAAATTAAATGAGGTTTTAACATTTAAAAAAGATCTCCACTTCGTTGTTAAAATACAGTTTCATACAGAAAAATTCATTTTAAGGCAATTGACATTGAGATGTTTTCACATGCATTTCTAATCTCTATATATATGACTATTACTGGTCACAGTTGCTTACTTTCTGAGTTCCTTGGCATCTGAGCATGAATATAAACTCGTCAGATAGACAGCCTTCCTCTCCCACTAGAGCCTCCATACTCTGCCATCCCTGCCACTGTCCACTGTGCTGTCAGCAGCCCCATCTATTCCCCCCTATCTGCCCTTCTGGTATTATTTTTACTTTATGTGTATGCATGTATTGCCTGCATGTCGGTAACTGCACCCGTGTTGTGCAATGCCTGTGGAAGACAGAAGAGGCTGTCGGATCCCCTGGAACTGGTGTTACAGACAGTTGTTTGCTGCCATGTAGGTGCTGGAATTCAAACCTGGGTCTTCTGCAAGAACAGTCAGTGTTCTTAACTGCTGAGCCATCTCTACAGCCCAAAGAGTGATTTTTTAATAAGAAAAGGCTACTCCTACTCACCTGACTGTTGATTCTTCAAATCATTTCTAGAATTGGATCCTCCAGATCCCAGTGTGGGTTATTTGCTAGCTTTACCCCACTCCCCCAGCATAGCTGTTTCCACCTTCACCACCAGTAACTTCTGTGCCCACGGCCATTGCTCTACAAAGAGACCACCTTCTTCCTCCATATACAGGCCTCCTGCCACTCCACAGTGCACCATAAGTGACATTCCCTGACATTCACCCTCTCCCTGACTCCAAATACACACCATACCCCCTACAACTGCTATGGTGGTGAGTAGCATGTTACATTAGAACGTCACTTGCACCGTGAAACCCTGAAGACATTAAAATTGACAACCTAGAGTCATGTGAACTTGATAAACACTCTGTGAATAGGAAAACATGTGGAGAGAGCTATCTCATGCAGACAGGCTCTTTTCAAGCCCACCTGGAAAATTCAGGCATAGCACACTGTCCTCTTCACCATCCACTGACGAAGAGGCTATCCCTGGCAAAGACTGAGTGGGCACCCTAGGACATACTCACTGCAAACCGGACTTGGCAGTTCTCTTCCCCCAGGTAACAGAGATCGCCTGAGACGTTCGTCTCCAGCCACAGGTGCTCCCCGTTCACAGCATTCTCCTGCAAGGAAAAGACCCGCCTGCTTCAGTTTTCTCATCAGGGTCAAGGGAAGAGACCTCAACTCTGGATTTTTATGCAAGAAACTTAGTGATTCCCAAGCGTTTCAATACCTTTCGTTGGATCTCTCACAACACTGCATTGATCTTACAGAAATTTCTTACAGAAATTCCAGAATTGGAAAAAGGTGTTTGAGAAATTTTGTTTAATCTATAACCAAAAGAGATATGAGGTAAATAACTCTCTTTTCTGTGGATGTCATCTTGAAACATTTTCAACAAATAAGGGGGAAAGAGAACTCTAAAAGGCTCCATGTAGAGTCTTACTGTCTTATTTATCCAGCCCCACACTGCAAATGTCATGACACAGGAGACCAAAATTAGATTAAAAATTGCCTCTACTTAGTGAGTTAGCCGAGGAAGAGGGTGGTAGTGGAGATGGAGGACGGTTGAGCTGTTGGAGAGCACGTTTATGCTTAGCTTTTGTCTCTAGTACTCAAAGCACAATGCGTTTCTACTGATTTAAACATGTTGCTAATTCAGTAAGGCCTCCTATCCAATTAATTCTAAATTTTACAAACTGAGTAATGTTGCTCCTTCTAAAAATGCAGACTTTTGATGGTGAAGAGAATGGCTCTGATGCATGGCCTGATGAGCAACAGCCCATTACCCACAACTGTGCAGTGCCTCACTTGGTCTGTGAAGTATGACTAACAGAATTTCATATTCCATCTATAGCATGCCACTTTGGAGCAGATGAAATGATATATTAATTGTATATTTTGTTTATTTGCTTAAAAGATCCTCTGAAATATTAGGAAAAGCGTTGTATCAGACTAACCATAAGGGACAAAAGACCAAGTCTGCAAGTTTTATAGGAAAGTGTCTTGTCTCCATCTCATTCACCAGAAATACATGAACTAGCAGTTACTTTAAATAGAGGATGCTGTGGGCTAGAGAATGCCCCCCCGACACATATATGTTAAAATTTAATGCACAGTGTGACGGTTACAGGAGAGGATCTTTGATCAGGTCATGAAGGTTGAACTTTCACTATGGAATCAGTGCCCTTATAGGAAGGGACAAAAGAGAGATCTCCCTCTCTTCACATGTATGCACCAAGGAAAAGCCATGTGAGCTCACAGCAAGAAAGCAATGGTCTTTGAGTCAAGAAGAGAGCCCTCGTCAGGAACCCAACAGGCCAGCACCCTGACCCTGCACTTCCCAGCTCTAGAATGGTGGTAAGTCAGTGTCTATTGCTTAAGCCACCAAGACTGTAGCCTTATTTTATGATAACAGCCTTAGCAGACTCACATAGAGGATGACTTCAATAGAGAGCTCTACATAATAACCAAGTGATTTAGAGCGCCATCTTACATTTGAGCCACTCATTGCAACCCGCTCCAGAAGTGTCCACACAATAGGCCTCTGAATCCCGAGGCTTCATCCCTGGGGCAGGGGGTAGGGGGGATGCCAATCATCATGCATTTTTTTATAATAATGCATTTCTTCACATTCAGAGAGAATACATCTTTCCTTTCAGGGCAAGGAAGTATTTTCAGGCAAGAAAAAGAAAAAAAAAAAAAACAAAACACATGCCATATTGTGACTCAAGACCCAGATGCTTCATGAGCCAAGGAAAATGAGGTAAGAACTAGACCAGCAAAAGCAAGGGGTGAAGAGGCAGAAAAGTGACCAAGTAGATAGATGTCAAAGGCTCAGAGAGACCCTGAGGTGGGACAGGTCAGACCTGACTCCAAGTGCCCTACATCCAATCTGAAGCCAGGCGTAGTGGTATACATGTGTGATGCAGGAGGATCGAGAGTTGGAGGCCTGCCTGAGCTACAAAGTGAGAAAGAAACCCAAAACTTCCTAAAATGGGGGTGGAGATGGCTCAGTGGTTAAGAGCACTGGCTGTTCTTGCAGAGGACCTGGGTTTGATTCCCAGCACCCACACAATGGCTAACAACCATCCATAACTCCAGTTCCAGGGAATCTGACACCCTCTTCTGACCTCCTCTGGCACTGCACAACACTGGTGCACTTACACACATGTAGGCAATATGCTCCGACACATAAAATAAAAATAATATGTATTTTTTTAATTCCTAAAAAGAAAACGTTGTTGAGAATGGAAGCCCACATTGCGCCATGGACCAAGGAAAAGCCACGTGAGCTTTTCCTTGGTGCAGTGTGAGTGTCTACCTTTTTTTCTGAATTTTTTATTTTTTCCTGGTAATGTTGTCCAGGGGCAACTCATGTTCAATTTGTATACAGATATCCATGGGAAAATAGACCTCACTGGACACTAACAGAAGAAAGAGAATAGACATTGGGTTGGACACTAAAAGTTTTTACAAAATGATGAGTGATAACATCATTAGAAAACAAATACAAAGATTCTTCTTTGCAAAATTTCCTAAAGAATGAACTCTGACAATCTGAACTACTGCTGGGGTTACCATTCAATTTTAACTTCCATCCAGCAATACAGAAACAATTGGTTTTCATTTTACTATTCATTTTTCAGCAAACATGTATTCCTCAGCACTAGCACCAGTCCCTGGGACGCTATGGCACTTCATGGTAGCAAATTGGCTAGAGCAGTTGGAAACTGAACATGCCACAGTAACAGCAGACTCTAAGGAAAAACTGCATCAAAAATTCTGCCAATTATTTTAAGGAGTGAAGTGTAAAGCTGTTTCCAGGGGCAAATGTCAAAAGCCTTTGACAGAGACAAGCTAGGCAGGCCAAAAATGAAGTTATGAAAGGTCAGGGAAGTGGGCAGGAACAAACAAGACCCAGGAAGACCCAGCAAGATCCAGGGAGTCAGACACTTGCCTGCACCACACCCCACCAACTCGCCAGACTATCTAGGCTGGCCCCTGGACCCCAGGCTCCCTTGATAAACTGAACACCATTTTCAAGCTTTCAGAAACTTGCTGGTCAGTCTTGCCTCAGACTCAGGTACAAAAGACCACCACGGTTAGTTACCTCACTCTCAGATGGGAACTTGATTTAAAAGAGATAGACCCTTGGGAAGGAAAAGAAGGGGAAAGAGATAGAGGCTTTGCTATATCCTGCCACAGTCTAGTGCACTGGTTCTCTATTTGAGCTGTATATCTCAGTGTCCTGGTGACTACTTAAAAATATGTGGCTAGCATTAGAGAGAGTCTGTGTCAATGGATTCCAGTGAAACTTGTGTATAAGGATGACTCAAAGGTCCTGTGGTGGTTCTACTGTGCTGCTGGTCCTATGACCCAACAGACCTCACTCTACCTCTTTAAGCTTTTTAGGTAATAGATTATAAAGTATGTCTGTGAGGCAAGATGGGCTATCCTGGGTACTTCTCTGTCTTGAACAATCACCAGTGAAGGAAAAGGTTAGGATACAGGAGACATGGCATGAGGTAGCTCAGTCAATTTTAAGGGAAAACACAGAGCCATAAATACATAGTAAGCAGATTCTGAGTTCACAGTGTATTGCCTGGAGGGAGGGAGAAAGGACAGCCTCTAAGGAAAAGCTAAATTAAATATTTGTGAGCTTAAATGACTATGCTCACTGTGGGAAATATATCTTAAAGAAATATTTCTAATGGAAAAACTATGTATGTACCTTACTAGAGTAATCTAAAAATCAAAAATTGAAAACATTACAAATTCCTACTGGAAAAGGATGGTTATGAGAATAAGACAATGCAACAAAAAGAAATGTAAAATCAAGAAATACAATAAGGAGACTGGTCATAGGAAAAACTTCATGATAGAGTCACACAAATGAGTAGCATTCACAATTGACTGGGTACTATGTTCAAAGTCATAAAAACAGGAACTGAAAACAACCCAACATCTTTAGTTATTTTTTAAAAATATTTCATTTATTATTTTTATTTTGTGTGTATGAGTAAATTGCCTGCATGTATGTAAGCACACCTGTGCTCTGCAGTGCCCATGCTGGTCAGAACAGGGCATCAGATCCCCTGGAACTGGAGTTATGGACAGTTGTTAGCTGCCATGTAGGGCTGGGAACTGAACCCAGGTCCTCTGTGAGAACAGCCAGTGCTCTGAACCACTGAGCCATCTCTCCAGCCCCAGTAGTTGAGTTCGTGACACACATTTATTTCTGTCTGCTGCCCATCTCTAATGGAAAAGCTCAACTTCCTTTCCACACTATTATGACTTCTTGGACCCAAGTCCATCGGTGTTCTTCCTCCCACTCCAATACCTCTTTCAAGATCACCCGCGACTTCACATGGCTAAATCCAGTGGTCAATGATCAACCTCCCCCTTCATCAACTGCTCAGCATAGATGATCAACCCCTCCTTTCTTGAACTCTGTTGGTTTCTCTTGTACATCTATGGTCTCTCCTTTCTCATATCCTTTGTTGGATCCTCATTTCCAAACTCTAGATGTTGACATGTTCCCAGCTCGGTGCCCACGCATTTGCTCTCATCCATCTGCATTTAGTTCTTAGGTTACTGCATTCAGTTCTCCTGGCTTTAAATCCCATTGAGTAACTGTTACCTCCAAAATTCTCTATTCAATATGGCTCTCTTTGAATTTCACTCTTAAACAATCGCCTTCTCAGCATCTCCATTCAAAGATCTGATAAGCATCTCAAAATTGTACATTTGCAAAAACTCTGAATTTCTTCCACGATCTGTTCTTACTCATCACTTTGAATTTTCAGTAACTGGAATTTCTGTTCTTCCTACATCAGCTAAAATCTTTGGAGTCCTCCATTCCCTTTTTTTTCGCAACTAATCTCAGCTAATCAGAATTTCAAGATGCATCTGAAACCTAGTCACTATTTACAACCTCTACTATTACTACTGGTTCTGGCTTAGAACAACCCCATATCTAACCAAAACTGGTATGTATCCCTGCTCTATCTTGACTCCTTGTGTTCTGTTTTCCAAAGAGCAACCAAACCAATTACTTCCAAATCAGCAGCAGCAATTGGGACAAGGGCTTGAGTCACAGCTCTACTGCTTCCCA